ATATAGTCTATTAATTGTTACTTGGGTTTAGATATCAAGATCATTGTTTCCTCAGTGTCAAATGAATGTTTGGGAGCCTTCGATGTTATGTTAGGAAAAAAGAAATTAATTGAAAAACAGGAAGCAATATTTTAGTTAATCACTTTTTTCTTTGTTCGTGATAGAGTGCATATGTGTGCATGACAGATGGGGAGAGAGAGTAATGAGGACCCTCCATAGATCACACTGCTATCTCCTTCCTTTAGTTTTTTGGAACTTGGGCACTTGCATACATGCTGGGCATGTTTCTGAGTAATCAAGTGGGGATTTGAACTGTAGTTGCCATGTGAGATCTGATTTCTCTCTCTCTCTCTTTTTTTTGGAGAAGTTTTTGCTATAGGGCGCGTGCGCTCACCAGAAAGACAGAGAGAGACAGAGAGACAGAAAGCAAGAAATCACCCCCCAGGGGGGATGGCCACACCGCAGTCCCTTCTCCTCCATTTTCCTCTCGGGATCTTGGGAGTGCACACACACGCGCCCAGCGTGAGTTCAAGCCACTGGGTCCAGGACTTGAACCACGGTTGACTACATGAGAGTTCAGCGACATAGCCATTATGCTAACTTCTGGTCCTGAGATCTGGTTTCTCTTGAACAAAGCGTTACTACTGTGCCACAGAGCTGGCCATAGTTAGTGGGTTTCTTCTGACTTGCAGATGGCTACCTTCTTGCTATATGCTGCATAGTCTTTCCTTGTTGTGCGGACAAAGAGAGAGATCTCTTTCTTCTTTTGTAAAGATTTGCTATAGAGTGCATGAGTTTGGCAGAGAAAAACTGGGAGGACTGGGGAGTACAGGAGAAAGAACCCTCATGGAGGGGACTGGCCACACTGTCCTTCTCTCCTGTTCTCCTTTTGGGATTTTTGGCATGCATACACACACGTTTGGCATGTGTCTTTTAAGCTGCTGGGGTTAGGACTCAAACTATGCAAGTGGCCAAGTGGGATCCAGCCACCTTGATTACCATGTCACCAGGTGGTCCATCTTTCTCTTCTTATAAGGCTACCAGTCCTATTGTAGTAGAATTCTGTCCTTATGATGTCATTTAACTTTAATTATCTACTAAAAGATCTGTCTGCAAGTACAGTCACACTGAAGAATAGGGCTTCAACAAAGGAATTTTAGGGGAACATAATCCAATCCATTATGGTTTGAATTATATGTGTATATATATATATTTTTTTTTTTTTGAGAAGTTTTTGCTATAGGGCACGTTCCCTCGCCAGAAAGACAGAGAAACAGAAAGTGAAAAATCACCCCCGGGGAGATAGCCACACTGCAATCCCTTTTCCTCCATTCTCCTCTCAGGATCTTGGGCACTCAACGCACACCTGCCCAGGACTCGAACCATGGTTGACTACATGGGAGTCCAGTGACATAGCCTTTATGCCAACTGCTGGTCCCTGAATGATATGTTTTAATGATCCCAAATAATTAAATTTTTTTAACTTAAAAGGTTTATGTTAGGTCTATATTTTAACAATTTTACACACAGAATGAGAGAAAATGAGTTTATGCTCATTCTCATGTTAATTTACTTTAGTAAGTTAAATATAAATATCGGTATAATTTTATATATATATGTGTGTGTGTGTGTGTGTGTGTGTGTATATACCCACACACTAAGTTTTATATATAGCTATAAATTTATTGGGTTGTGGGAAAAGTCATGACTATTTTTCTGTTTTTCAAAGGACATTTATTTATATAAAGAACAAAGATCAGTCAATGAAATATTTCCCAACTTGTTTAATAACCTTTTGCCATCTTTCAGTGAACTTTATAATTCCTCATTCATAGAAGGACCTGTCTGTATCAGTGTAAAACTGAACAAGGTGCTGATTTACAGCCCCATCTAAATTGAATGTTATACCATGCAAGTAATTTTGAAGAGAGCTAAACAAGAGGAAGTCTGATAGCGCAAGGTCAGGCGAGTATGGTGGGTGTGGGAACACATCCCATCCAAGCTCCAAGAATTTTTGGCAGGTGATCAAACTTGTGTGTGGTCTCTCATTGTCATGCTGGAACACAACTCCATTACAATTAATGAGCTCTGGACATTTCTGGATGATGGATACGTTCAAACTGTCCAGTTGCTGACAGTATGCATTTGAGTCTATTGTTTGGTTCCTCAGAAAACAGACTGTTAAAATCCCATCACACTTCCATATACCTTCCTCTGATGAATGTCTGCTTTCTATGTCATTCAGGGTGAATTATCAAGTTGGGACCAAGACCATTTGCACACCACGTTGTTGTAAATAATCCACTTCTGATCACCGGTTATCAGTTGCTTCAAAAAAGGATTGTTTTCCTCGCATTTAATGAGCATGTCACAGATGTTTATACGTGCTATCAAATGAACTTTGAATTCGTGAGGAACCCAAATATCAAGCTTCCTTATGTATGTCAGCTTCTTCAGTTGATTGTGAACATTTGAATGATGGATATTCAATGTTTCTGCAATTTCTTGTGTCGTATAAAGTGGATTCGACGCAGTCAATGCCTTTATTTTGTTGTCATCAACCTTGGTAGGCTTCCCTGACCATGGATCGTCATTGCAATCAAAGTCACCAGCATAGAATTTCATGAACTATTGCTGCGCACTGACATTCTTGTAGAGCATTGTCACTGTATAAACTTTATGCAACTTTTCATAAGCTTGGCGCATGTTCTTCCCTTTACAGAAATAAAACATAAAATAGGATAAAAATGTACAGTTTGGTCTTCCATCTTCAATTTATTGTGAAGTCTCCAAAACTCAACCAAATCTTTTATTTATTTATATATATGTGTGTGTATGTGATGTCTGTGTGTGTGTGTGTGTGTGTGTGTGTGTGTATATATATGTGTGTGTATATATATATATATATATTTTTTATTTTTTTTAGAATCAAGCTAGAACTGTCACATGCCAAATGACATAGCAATAACATAGAATGGGGAGTGTAGTACTTCCAAAAATGAACTGGTACCATCTTTGTAAAAAAGTGTCATGACTTCCAATAACCAAATATATAAAGAAGGAATAGCATATGCTGCACACTATATTCCTTTTAGGGAAGAGTATATGTTTCTGTAAGTAGGAGTGCTGAGAAAGTGCTGCAGCATCGTTAGAATATTTTGACATCTTGGCCCAGTTGCAGTGTTGTGCTCTGCAGGCTAGGACCATATAGGAAGCCTGATTTGATTCCTTCTCCAATCTAAAGACCAGGAGCAGTGGCATGTGCCTGTCGTTCAACGATTCTGGGAGGCAAAGGTGAGAGGATCATGAACTCAAGCCTGTCCTAGGCAGCATAGCATGATGATGTTTGAAAAAGAGCAGGAGGTGGTCGCTTAAACCTGTCACCCCAGGTGGGAGGCTCAGGTAGGAGGTAACATAGCAAGATCTGGTCTTTAAAAAAACAACAAAAAAGAATATTCTGACATTTTTCTTTGACAGTACTTTACCTTTAATTCCCCTTATATCATGGCCTGCTTTGAGCTTTGGTATAACTTCTTTCAGCAGTATTCACATAATCCTATAAATATTCACTACAGTAATGTTTATTATGTCTGTCAAAATGGGAAAAGGTTTTCTTTCAATTTCTAAAGGGCTGCTGACTTTGATCTTCTGTTTCTTAGACCGTTTTCTTTAAGAACTTAGAACTGTAGTAGGTCAGTCTTTAAGATCCAGGTCAATATCTATATGCTTTTGTTTTAAGCAACTTCAGCATTATCCTGGCCACTATTATGTTAAGACTGTAACCTATGAAAATACACACAAACACATCCCAAAAAAAAAAAGAAGAAGAAAGAAAATGCAAGTGCTTACTGCAGTGTGGCCTAGGAGAGTACATTCAGATTACAATGTCATTGTCTCAGCTCTCATTAACGGACACCTAGGAGATTAACTTAGCCCATAAATGGGAAGTAAATTAAATTAAGTAGACATGGATATCTCTCTTGGGGACCAAGTGGTAGTATAGTGGTAACACAATTGGATCCACATTGGAAGGGTCCTGGGTAAGTGTCCTGAGACCTGCCTGAGCATGCCAGGGGCACATGTGTATCTGTGTGCTGAACAAGCTGAGACCAGGAGTTGATTGTGGCATGAAGACCAAGTTGGAGGTGTCTCCATGTGCATATGTGTCTGTCTGTATTTTGGGAAAAATAAACTTAAAAAAAAGACTCTTCTCCTTCTCCTGTGCTCTCTCACTCTGGGAAAAATAAACTTTAGAAAAAGACCTTTCTCCTTCTCCTGTGCTCTCTCACTCTCATAAAAAAATTATATATATTACTTATTTATAGACATTGAAATTTGTATTTTGTATGACTTTTACCCATTACAAAATGATATTATTGTACAGAGTAAACCTACAAGATAAGCATTATTATTTCCACTTTATGGTGAAGAAATTAATGCATAGAAAATGCTGGCCTCCTCAAATTCATGAAACTGATTAAGTGACAGAGCCATGACTGCCTGTATTCTTTTCCCTATAGTATGGCATAGGTTAAATACAATCAGAATTCACAAACAGAGCACGAGTATCTTAATGCTCATTGTGGCCAGAGTGCTTACAGTCTTAAAAATAATAATAAAAACAATGCATGCTTTTCCTAAAGTTCTTATTACCATATTCTCTGGTCTAGCTGTTTTAATACTTAATAACTGGTATTTTGACAAAAGCTGGATGTGTAAGGTGAAGGGCATTTGTTACAAAGTTTGGTGAAGATGACAGTTGAATGGTATAGTCGTTTATGGGCTATATTTCTTTTCCACATTTTCAAATAATAATTGATTTTATTTTCAGACGTATACTACTAAAATAAACTTTAAAAGAACTTTCTTCCCCCAAGTCATCTATGTTCATTGCTGATCTAATATTTTAATTTATCCAGTAAGGTTTTTCTAAATTTTTGAACTTGAGATATTGAGACCATTTTCTGTAGTAATGTACATTTTGGATTACTTCTCTGTAGGTGGTGGAAGATTATGCTGGAAGATGGCAGGTCCCTTTGCCACAGCTGCAGGTTCTTCAGACTGCACTTTGTTGTTTTACATCAGCCAGTGCATCATTCCCAGATGAATGTGAGCACGTGCAATATGTTCTGAGTAGCCTTGCTGTGTAAGTAGTCTTTACTTCGTATAAACTTCTTACCTTTCTTTGAGTATATGAAAATACTGATTAATTCTTCTGAGCAAAGAACTTTTCCTTAAGTTCTTCCCTCAAAAAGAAATGTTTTCTTCTTCACATAAGTAGTTAGGCTTAGTTTGAATATATAACCATATCTTTACTTGTAGTTTAGGGTTGAATGGAATTCTGATATACAAATTCTTCCGGTCACTACAAGTACTTTACTTTCCTTTTTAATTCTTTAGATTGCCTTAGAAAGCTCTAATAGTAAGTACTAGAATACAGCAATTAAGGCCATGATAGTTAGCAGAGGGCCTTATATCAGAACAGAAACATTTGGTTTTTAAAAATGCTTGCAGAAGGAACCAGCAGATGGTATAGTGGTTGTATCACTGAACTCCCACATAGTTGACTGCAGTTTGAATCCTGGACCTTGTGACATAAAACGCACACCAGGTGCATGTGCATGCATGCCCAAAATCCTAAGAGGAGAATGGAGAAAAAGGGATTGCAGTGTGGACCACTCCCCTGAGAGAGTGATTTCTCTCTTTCTGTCTTTCTCTCTCTCTGGTGAGCACATGTGCCCCATAGTAAAAATTCTCTGAAACAAACAAACTAATATGCTTGCAGAAACCTTGGAATTAAAGATTACGAACTGAGCACTTGAATTTTTCCTTTTTGCCTTCTTAGCAGCCTGCTAATATTATAGTAAAAAAGTAAAAGAGAAATATGCTCAGTGAAAAGAAAATAAAAAAGGTCATCAGTGAGTAAAAGATTTCCACAGTTCTGAGGGACTCAAAGCAGGTAGAGGAATGGTCATTTGAAACATAGCAAAACAAGTCTCAACTTTCATCTGTCTTCTTGTGTATTTTTGTCTCAAATTGCACTCATACCACAGAGTGGGTTGTGTAATCATTTGTCACCACTACAAAGTGCAATAGAGAATAGGGTGCACGTCAAAGGTAAGTAGTATTTTATGAAACTTATTATTTTTGTGTATGTATATACTCGATTATTTGTATAACATTTTTTATAAAACTGTGGGTAGCAATGAAAACCAAATTATCCTGTCTTATATAATATAGGAGAAAGCCTGTTTGCCTTGATCTCTTCCCCTAAGAGGTATAGAATTTGAACATGCAAGATAAAAAATGGAGCGGGGAATGAGATATTTTGAGAAATTGCAGATGAAGGAATTATAGTTTTTCCATTCATACTAATCAGCAAGCCTTGGGGCAGAGTAGGGTATGGTAGCAGTACTGTCCTGTACTGTGTAAGGACCTTTAGTTCAGTGATGAACCACATACAGGATGATGGTCCTGTAAGATCATAATGGAACTGAAAATCCTGTCACCTAGTAACATGACATCTGCCATAACATTGTATAACCCCATTACTCACATGTTTGTGGTATTGCTGGCGTATTAAACCTAGTTCACTGCAGATCCTTATAAAAGCATAACATACAGTTACGCACAGTACCTAATACGTGATAATTTATGTTTTATTGGTTTATGTATTTACTATGCTTTTTTACTGTTATTTTAGAGTGAACACCTACTTACAAAACAATGCACTATGAAACAGCATTATTACATTGGCAGCAGCCTCATATATCCTAGTTTACTCTGTTAATTATATCATTTTCTCTTGTGCCTCATTTAACTCCTGTTGTTTTTGTTCTATATGGCCCTTCCATGCTGATCATTCTGATTCTCATATGTACAGGCTAATGTGTATTTTGTGTCTTAGTTTCTAAAAAAAAAAAAACCTTTGAAAAATAAAAATAGAAAATATCATGATATAAGGATTTTTAAAAAGATACTTTTGTACAGCTGTACAGTGTGCTTGTGTTTTTAAGTTAAGTGTTATTTTAAAAGTCAAGAAATTAAAAATATTAAAAAATACATAAAGTAAAAAAGTTACAGTAGGCTTATTTTTAAAGAAAGAAAAGTATCTCTTGAAAAAAGTGTAGAGTCTTTATGACACTGCAGTTGTGTCAAGGTCAGGCCTTCATATTTACTTTACTACTCTCTGACTCATTCAGAACAACTTCCAATCCTATCAAACACAGATACACTTTTTATCTTTCATGCCATGTCTATTTATTATATATATATATGTGTGTGTGTGTTTAAACACATAGATACTTACCATTGTGTTATAATTACCTGTGGTATGCAATAGAGTAACATACAATATGAGTTTGTGGCAGGAGGAATAGTCTATGCCATATACCTTAGGTGTCTGATAGTCTATACTTCTAGGTTTGTGTAAGTATGATGTTTGTATAAGAATGAAATCATCAAGCAATGCATTTCTCAGAATATGTCCCTGTCTGTGAGCAAGACATGACAGTACTCCTTTGTTTTCCTTTAAAGAAATTAAATGACCCTGGAGCAATTACTTTGCATTCTGACTTTTAAAGATTCCTTATTGAGAAAGCTAGCTAATCACTAATTACCCTGGAGAAAAAGTAATCAGTCAGGAAACTCCACATAGGCTCAAAGGACTCCCAATTATCTGATCTTATTTTAAAATATTAATAGATATCCAAAATCATTACAGGTTTGGTAAAGAATACCTTTAACATTAAAAAGAAACAATTAGGGGGTCAGCAGGTAGCTTGGTGGTTGATCAAGGTACTAGACTCCCACATGGCTAACTGCAGTTCTAGTCCTAGACCGAAAGGCCTGAAAATCACATCGATCACATGTGCATGCATCCCCCGCCCCCCCTGAGAGTTTAATGTAGGAGAATGGATTGTGACGTGGCCCAGGGGGAATGATTTCTCACTTTCCCTCTCCCTCTCTCTCTCCCTCTCTCTCTCCCTCTCTCTCTCTCTCTCTCTCTCTCTCTCTCTGAGTCTCTTTGGTGAGTGCATATACCCTAAAAAGAGAAGAGATAGAGAGAGAGAGAGAGAGAGAAACAATGGAAATAAACTAAAAAAACTCTGGAAGAAATAGTGTTAATATTGAAAACAAATGAAATTTAAAATCTATACCTAGTATTTTCAGAGAGATTTAAGATACGTATAACATTAAAATATTAGTATCATGCTGTGTGAAAGGAATGAGATACTTAAAATGACTTACAAATTGAGAAAACATGGTTAAATTGTAAAGTTGTGGGGTCAGTAGGTAGCATAGTGGTTAAGGCGCTGGACCCCACATGGTCATCTGTGCAGTTTGAATCTTGGACCCTGTGGCTTGAAAAATACACCAGTGCAGTGCATGTGCTTGCATTCCATAATCCCAAGGGGAGAATGGAGGAGAAGGGATTAGGGCATGGCCTTCTCCTTTGGGGGTGGTGATTTTCTCACCTTACCTCTGTCTGTCTGTCTCTCTCTCTCGCTCTCTCCAGTGAGCACACATGACCTATGGCAATAATCTAAAAAAAAAAAAGTTGTTTAAGAAGGTATAAAGTTGAAATAATACAAAATGTAAAACAAAACTAAAGAAAAAATTTAAATGATGCATGTAAATTGTATTTTTTAAAATTATTTTCATACATTTAAAATTGTAGGAAAGACAGTTTGGACAGATTAAAATGTAACATTGTTTAGATTTTTAAGAGTGGGGCAGTTTTAAAAAAAATTTTCGGGGGATATTTTTGCTGTAGAGCACGTATGCTCGCTGGAAAGAGAGAGAGAGAGATAAAGAGACAGAAAGTGAGAAATCATCCCATAGCCGGGGGTGACCATGTCACAGTCTCTTTTTTTCCATTCTCCTCTTGGGATTTTGGGCATGCACACACATGTGCCTGATACGAGTTTTAAGCTGCTGGGTCAAGGACTTAACCGTGGTTGATTATGTGGGAGTCCTGCAATGTACCCATTACATGACCTCCTGGTCCTGAATGAGGCAGATTTTTAAAGAACCTTTTATAGAATAGATCATTTTTATATTTATTTTGTGGTAAGTAAAGGAATATGTATATATTAAGACTTTTTTTGAGAGATTTTTTTCTATAGTGTGTGTGCTCGCCAAAGAGACAGACAGAGACAGAGACAGAGAGTGAGAAATTACCACCCAGAGAGGATGGCCATGCCTCAATCCCTTCTCCATCCTCATCTCAGGATCTTGAGCACCCACGCACACATGCCTGGCATGAGGTTTAAGCCACCAGATCCAAGACTCGAACTGCAGTTGACTGTGTGGGAGTACAGCAACATAACCATTACACCACCTGCTGGTCCCAATATTAAGACTTTTATTATAACTGACAGCTTACTCAAGCTAGCTAAGTGTGCATGTGTGCGCACACACACAAACACAAACGTGTAGGGTTTTTTTTTGTAGGGAGCGAATTATTAGATAACTATGGAAAAACAAGTGGAATTAGTTTCAGGATTTTCTGAATCAAAAAATAAGATATTCAGAACTATTTTTTTTTCCAGTCTTCTCTCTTTTGGCATAATTCTATCAGGGCTAATGACAGTTACAGAATTAAGTTTACTTTATTAATGAAGACAGAAGAATTGCCTTATCCCCACTTCCAGTCCCAAAAATACCTTGGGAAGAACTCTGGCCTAGTTTATGCCATCTACTTCTGGGATTAATCACTGTGTTAAGGATAATATGGTAAGATTTTTGGCTCAGTCTGATGACAAGTCCACCCCATTGTTAGAGGAAGTGAGGTACTACATTGTCAGCTCCATCAGAACCTTAGAAATATTGAAGAAATGATCAGTTCTCTTAAGAAATAAATGAGGTAGTGTGAAAGAGAGCTATCAAGGTAGACAAAAATAATAGACATTCACCACAAAGAATATTTTTGTGTGTTATTCTGCAGTCTATAAAAACAGTTTCGTTACTCTTTACTGATTCTGAAGAAAATAAAATAACTATTAAGGACAATAAGTAGTGGGTCCGGCAAGTGGCATGGTGGTTAAAGGCCCTGGACTCCCACATGGCCAACCACGGTTCGAGTCTCAGACCTGGTGGCTTGCTTTCTCACTTCCTCTCTCTCTCTCTCTCTCTGTCTGTCTT